ATCTGAGAGAGATATATTAATCTGGGATTTATCTGACATTTATTTGTTAAACTTTCAACTTGCTTATTTGTTCTCTAGGCTCTCATGTAGATGCAAAGAAATCTAAGACAATATTTAAGAACCCATGTAATGATATAATCCTTAAAAACAGCGAGCATTTTGAGACCTGGAGACTTTGTGCATGTGATAGCATTTGGGGATGTTTATACCACCTCTGTGTAATTGGTTGAGAGCAGAATAGTTAGACAAGATAAGGCTGGAGCAATGCAAGGTGAGGTCGGCAGGATTCCTAGTCATCATTCCGTGCTCTTTTACTAGCAGAAATTGTTGACAACTTATATTCTAAGTTTTCAAATGTTTTCACAAAGTTGTGAAAGGCCTTCGTTTCATCCCAACTTTGAGCCTCTGGGGAGCAGAATCCCTAGCACCAAAGCCACACTAAAAGCTTTGCCCTGAAATGGAGATCTAAATAAGAGTCATGCATTATTCAACATACATATTGAACATGTGTGTAATTGTGAGGCATGCTTTTACTAGATTCCACACTGAAGAGCAGTTTAGGTCATTTTTTTCACCATGCCAGGCTTTGAAATGGAGAGTCAGATTATTGGATCCCTAGAAAAAAGTAATTCTCCCCAATCTGCTTTGTGATAAACAGTTCCTTTATAATTAATAACACCTAATAGCATTTTCTAAGAAGAAGCAAAAGCTTTGGAAGTCCCGGTTCCTCCTACAATCCCACATTAACTTACTTTATAACCTTCCCTTCAGCTAATTCCCTTCTACGTTTCTACATCTTCCAATAATTTTCACTTTTCCTACATCTTGCCCCAAGCTTCTTTTTCATTTTCTCTTCTTGGTTCTTTAGTGGATGTGTAACATTTTACTGACATTGACACTGAAGAAATCTATGTTAAAAAAAGGGGTGTGTGTGTCTGTGTGTGTGTGTGTTCATGTATGCGTATATGACAAAGTATCACCAATTTATTTACACAAAATAATAGACATACTACCTTTCATTTAATGAACTCTTCTCCTTATAAAGTCGGAAGGCAGGTTCTCAGGGTCTTGCACATGCATTCTGTGCTCTGGGAAGCAAGCAGAGGGCTACGTAAAGAGTCAGTTTTCCTTTTGGCTCCATCAGGTAAATTCTTAAGGCTCCATTTCCTCAAGAGTTTGGACAAAATGATCTGTAACGTTCTTTCTAAATCTAACATTCTATGATCCTTTTCCTGAGTAAAAATGCCAGTTTATGATAAAAGTAAAATAAGAAACTCAGCTTTTGTGAGAGTGTAACTTTGTAGATTTTCCCAGAAAAGCCTGCCAATATGAGGGTGTGCAATAAAGCAGATTGTAGGGGAAAATTAGTCATTTTTCACAACAAGAAGCACATGGAAGCCAAAAGGTTTAATTTACATCTTTTCACTATTATGTTGCTTTCTCACATTAAAAGATAATACTTGAGACTGGGAGATGGGTAAGAGTTCATTTCCACACCTGGGATTTTTAGGCAACTTAATATAAATTGCCTAATAGTAAACCATTAGACCTAAGAATAGTTCCATACCTCAAAATCCCAGGGCGTGTAAAGAAAGATCAAGGAATAAATTTAGCCTGGGAAGGGGCTAGATGAATACTGGACTTTGCTGTATTGCTCAGCTTCAAAGTACAATTTACTTGTTTTTATTGATTCCTTTTTGCTATTTTTAGTATCATTGACCCCAGAAATATTGGTTACTGTCTCCAGAATCCAGAATTTTCAAGGCATTTTAATCAGGAAAAAAAGATAACTGAAGGAGAAAAAAATATCTATTATGGCCTTAGTGTCAGTAAAACTATCAACATAATCTATTCTAAAGAAAGCTATGAGCTATTCTCACACAAAACATGTGAACAAACATGAGCTAGCAAAAGAAAATGACCTAATGGGAAGACATTTGCAAGTGAGAGAACAAACTCTAAGGTTATTAAAAAATACCTTAAACGTGGTATGATTCAGCCCAAGGAGAACTTGAATAGCATGAGTTAGGCGTTGAGCAGAACTATGTACTCCCAAGATAGACAGTTCTCTCAATGTTGCTTCTTGACATTGAACTGAGTGTGAGGGAGAGAATGCTAGCTGGTCCAGGATAAATCTAGACATTATAAAGGGCCTCGACTTCCTGTAAAAAAAAATGCATTAAGTATATAAAATTATTAAGAAGAAAGTAAAAAAATCTTCTGTAACCTCACATCCAGAAACTTAAGTCCTATTAACATTTTGGTATATATTAATTTCCAGTGGTGGAAGGATGAACCTTAGAGGGGAGGAGGACTAACCATTTTTCTGAAAGTTATATGGATTTGGGAGTAAGAGTTGCAGCTAGGACAAGAAGGACCCCTAACCTCTGTAAAATAGGAAGCAAGCTATCCATTCTCACCATTATTTTCTGAATGGCTTATTGACTTATTTTCTGTTATTAAATTGTAAGCTCCTTAAGGGCAGAGGCTATGCCATTTCTGTCTTGGATTTCCCCAAAGTCTATTATAGTAACTGACACATAATAGATGCTCAACAAATCTTTTTTGAATGGTGAAAGCCAAGTAAGTGACACTAAATACAAAAAAGTTACAAGGACCAGAAGGAATGGGAGCTTAGTAGAATTTCTAATAAAAGTGCAAAAGCCTTGTAAATATACTTAGAGATTAGGGAAGGGTAAAGATGGGTAGACCCATGCCTGGGTTCACAAATGACAGAACGACCATTACCTCTGCCTTTTGCTTCTTAATCTCCATCAAGGACTGCATCATTGGGAAGAATGAAACAATTACATTTAAGCAGAGACCCAGTGTGTGAACACTTTTAGACATCTTAGAGAAAGGTACAGATGTTGAAATGCTTGAAGAATCGTAGAAAACATGTGCCAGACTTTCAGAGATGTGAAAACACTAAATAGTTAACTGGGAAGAAGTGAGTGCTAGACTTTATGGTCTAGATAGGGTCTAGATGTCCAACAGAATTTTAGACTGGCAAAGTTACGCTGACTTGTTGGATGCTGGTTTTACCACTTTCAAGCCATATAGCTTTCAGTAAGATATGTAATGTCTCTGTGGCTCAGCTTATAAAATTGATATTCTTAGTACATATCTTATAAGGATGCTGGGAAGATTAAGTTTTCTTAAGGCATGTCAAAGAGTGCAGCTACATACTAAGTGCTCTATGATATTGAGTACTATTTTATTATTATTATTATTACCAACACTTAAAAAGGAAGTGATTATCACCAGGGAATATCTCCAATATGAATAAATCATACTTACAAACCAATTTTCAATTTTTTGGAAAATGTTTCTAGGTTGCTTATTCAATGACATGTCATAGATATATTTGAATGACAGTAAAGCCCCTTGACAAAGTCTGTATGACTTCCCTCATAAACACAGCAGTGGCATCCACTTGGGAGAGGTGTTTACCTAGGAGAATATAAGAATATTAAGAGGGCCAATAAGTTAGTACATATTCTACTCTTAAAATCTATACAGAATACTAGAAGAAATTACAGTCAAGATTTTTGCTAATTATAAATAACTTCATAATAATCAAAATTTCTCTAAAATTATTATCTTTTAGAGTTGAAAGGGACTTGAAAACATCTTCCAATATAAAGTTCATGTTACAGCTGAAAATTTAAAGATAGGAGAGGTCCAATGAATTGCCCAAAGGCATTTACCAAGTGTGTAGCATAGCCAAGATTTGAACAAACAGCTTTTTGATTCCAAGTGTGTCTTAAGCTACCTCTGGTAAGAGGAACATTAGAGTGTAGATCATATTTGTTTCTCCCTTTAGGGACCTATTTCTTCACCACTCAATAATACGAAATCAAGGTGCTGTTAATGCCCATTGATTGACCATACTGGCAGAGGTAGTGAGGTCACCTGTTCTTACTCCAGGCACCTGCCCATCTTCCCAGCTGAAATGTGATGTGGACTCCAGTGGTATTCCCTCAGATGCTTAGGCACTTTTCCTGAAGCTGCACAGAAATTTAAGGTTTGGGGCTTGTTTGTTGGATTAAGTGTATTTCTCTGATAACGCAAAGTACAAGGCGTTACTACCTGGGCTATGAATTACAAACTTGTGGTCAGATGCATATATATATATATTGTTGTAGTTGTTGTTTAAATGCTGATAAGTTGCAAACTGCCTTTGATCTGATGGAGACTCTACCCCTTCCTACCTTTCTGCCTCTTGAAGTCATTTGAGTTGTGATCCCTGACACAGAGCTCCAAAGGTGTTCCACATGGATGTGTCTTCACCTCCAGGCACTCTTTCCCATGCAGCATTTATTAATTTAACCTTTCACTTCAGTGTTCCTATCTTCACCCACATTTCCCAGCAAGCACCATTCCTCTTCATGCTATGTGCTGCATCCCTTCTATATCACATTCTGAAAATGTTGTGACTTCAGACAACTGCAGAAAATAAGTGCTTTGAAGGAGAAGGGTGAGTTCTGGTCTCAGTGCTTGCTATTCTGAGGAGGAATAGGGAGTCCTGGGGGCTCCTAATTTGAGGAGGAATACGGGCATGAAATTGTGAGATGGCTTTAATTCAGGGCTACATCTATACTTCCTTCAATGTCTAAAATCAGGCACTCTGCACCACAATACAAATTAAATTAAAACCCTGGTTTTCAGTGTTAAGAATACATTAACCTTCTTAGTGCATATTTATTAAATGTCCTTACGTTAACTGCCAAAGAATACCCCCAGGCCCAAACCACTTTTCTTTAATCTTAAATTTAGCTTTGGACTATAGGAAGCAATAAAACAATTTTCAGCTTACCTCTGTCTACCGCCATCCCCTATTATACTGACTTATTAAAAAATCCGAAAACATTTATGCCACTTATGTCCTGGGCACTGTGTTATTTACCTCTTTTGATTTTAGTGTCTAAGACAGAGATTCTGCCCTAGAGGAAATGACAACATTTCTATGGTTTTTCATTATGTGAAACCCAATGAAGAAGAAGGTCAACAAGAGCTAGAAGAGTCTGGGAAGGAAAGCCTCATGAATCAGCGGAGGACTTCAGTGGACTCTGTGGAATATGGATGCACAGAGGAGATAAAATATTCTAGACAGAGAGAACAGCATGCATGGAGGCCTGGGAATCTTTCTGGCAATAGAAGAGGACAGAAAGTTGATGCTAGAGGAAGGTAAATAGTGTTAAGAATTAGCAATGAAAACAGGTATGTATGAAATTCAGATTCACAAGTTTTTTTTTCCAACTCTGGCTGCACTTTATTTATTTATTATACCATTTTCTTTTTTATAATATTTTTATTGAAATATGCTTAACATTCAATATTACATTGGTTTTGGATGAACAACTTAATGATTCATCAGTTATATACATTATTAAATGCTCAACATAATAAGCATAGTTACTATCACCATACAAAGATATTACAATATTATTATGAGTTGTATTTCCTATGCTATACTTTCATCCCTGTGACTAAATTGTTTTATAACTTTAAGTTTGTACCTCTGTATCCCCTTCACCTATTTCACATGTCTCCCAGCCCTGTCATTCTCTGTGTTTATGAGTTTTTTTCTGTTTTCATTGTTCATTTGTTTTATTTTTCAGATACAGCATAAAAGTGAAACCATATGGTATTCATCTTCTACTGACTTATTTCATTTAGTATAATACCCTCTACGTCTGTCTATATTGTTGAAAATGTCAAGATTTCCATTTTTAGTGGCTAAGTAATATTCCACTGTATATATACAGCACATCTTCTTTTTCTATTCATCTATTGATGGGTATTTTGGTTACTTCCAAATCTTGGCTATTGTAAATAATGCTGCAGTAAACATGGATGCATCTATCTTTTCAAATTAATGATTTTGTTTTTGTTGGGTAGATTCCCAGAAGTAGAATCGCTGGGTCATAGGTATTTCTAATTTTAGTTTTTCACAAAACCTCTGTACAGCTTCCCAGAGTGACAGCACCAATTTTCAATCCCACCAACAGTGTGTGAGAGTTCCCTTTTCTCCGTATCCTCACCGACATTTATTATTTGTTGTGTTGTTGATATTGGCCATTCTGACATGCGTGAGGCAATACCTCATTGTAGTTTTATTTGCATTTCCCTGATTAGTGATGTGGAGCATATTTTCATGTGTCTGTTGGCTATCTATATTTCTTCTCTGGAAAAATATCTATTCAGGTCCTCAGTCCATTTTTCAGTTGGATATGTTTGTTCAGTGTTGTGTGAGTTCTTTATATATTTTCGATATTAACCCCTTTATCACATATATCATTTGTAAATATATTCTCTCATTCAGTATGTTGCCTTTTCATTTTATTGATGGCTTCCTTTGTTGTGCAGAAAGTTTTTAGTCTGATATAGTCTCATTTGTTTATTTTTGCTTTTGTTTCCCTTACCCAAGGAGACATATCCAGAAAAAAATTTCTAATGTTGGTATTCAAGAGTTTACTGTCTATTTTTTCCTCTAGTAGTTTTATGGTTTCAGATCTTATATATATAGGCCTTTATCCATTTTGAGTCTAATTATGTACATGGTGTAAGACAATGATGCAGTTTCATTCTTTTGCAAATAGCTGTCTGGTTTTCCCAACACCATTTATTGAAGAGACTTGTCTTTTCCCCATTAAGTATTCTTGGTGCGTTTGTCATATATTACTTGACCATATAGGCCTGGGTTTCTTTCTGGGCTCTCTATTCTGTTCTATTGGTCTATGTATCTGTTCTTGTGCCACTATCATACTGCTTTGATTACTGTAGCTTTATAGTACAGTTTGAAATCAGGGAACATGATATCTCCAGCTTTGTTCTTCTTTTTCAAGATTCATTTGACTTCTTGGGGCCTTTTGTGGTGATATACAAATTTGGGGATTATTTGTTCTAGTTCAGTGAAAAATGCCGCAATAAACCTTTTAGTTTTGATAGGGATTGCATTGAATTTGTAGGTTGCTTTGCACAGTATGGTCATTTGACAATATTAATTCTTCCTATCCATGCACAAGGAATAGCTTTCCGCTTATTTGTGTCATCTTCAATTTCTTTCTTCAGTGTTTTATGGTTTTCAGGGTATAGGTCTTTTACCTCCTAACTTAGAGTTATTTGTAGGTATTTTATTCCTTTTGATGCAATTGTAAATAAGATTGCTTTCTTAATTTCTTTTTCCGTTAGTTCATTATTTGTAAACTGAAATGCAACAGATTTATGTACATTGATGTATCCTATGACTTTACTGTCAATTTATTAATTCTGATAGCTTTTTGATGGAGTCTTTATGGTCACCTATATATAATATAATATCATGTCATCTGTGAGCAGTGACAAATTTACTTCTTTCTTACCAGTTAGGGTGCCTTTTATTTCTTTTTCTTGTTGGATTGCTATGGCTAGGACTTCTAGGACTATGTTGAATAAAAGTGGTGAGAGTGGGCCTGGTCTTGTTCCTGGTATTATAGGAAATGCTGTCAGCTCTTCACCACTGAGTATGATGTTAGCTGTGGATTTTTCATGTATGACCTTTATTATGTTGAGATATTACCCTCTATACACACTTTTTTGAGAAGTTTTATCATGAATGGTTGCTGAACTTGGTCAAATGCATTTTTCAGCATCTATTGAGATAATGGTATGGTTTTTATCCTCCTTTTATTAATGTGATGTATCACATTGATTTGTGGATATTGAAATCCTTGCATCTTTGGTTCAAATCCTGCTTCATCATGGTGAATGATTTTTTTTTAACATATTTTTAAAATTCAGTTTGCTAATATTTTGTTGAGGATTTTGCATCTATGTTTATCAGGGATATTGGTCTGTAATTTTCTTTTTTGTAGTATCCTTGTACAGTTTTGGAACCAGAGTGATAATCACCTCATAGAATGAATTTGGAAGTTTTATTTCCTCTTCAATTTTTGGAAGTATTTGAATAAGAGAGGTATTAACTCTTCTTTAAATATTTGATAGATTTCACCTGTGAAGCCATCTGGACTGGGACTTAGGGGTTTTTCTTTTTTATTGCTAATTTAATCTCATTACTAGTAATTGGTATGTTCAAATCTTCTATATCTACCCAGTCCAGTCTTGGAAGAATGTATGATTCTGGGAATTTGTCCATTTCTTTTAAGTTGTACAATTTTTTTCTTAGTACTGTCTTAGTACTGTCATGATTATTTGTATTTCTGTGGCATCGGTTGTAACTTTTCCTTTCTGATTTTGTTTATTTGAGTACTCTCTTTTTTTCTTGATGAGTCTACCTAAATATTTATCAATTTTGCTTATCATTTCATACCAGGTTATAGTTTCAATGCTCTTTTGTGGGTTTTTTCTAGTCTTTATTTCACTTATTTCCACTCTGATCTTGTTATTTCCTTTCTTATACTAACTTTGGGCTTTCTTTTTTCTTCTTTTTTTAGTTCCTTTAGGTATCAGACTAGATTGCTTATTTGAGACATTTGTTGCTTTTTTAGGTAGGCCTATATCACTATAAACTTTCCTCTTAAGACTGCTTTCCCCGCATCCCAAAGATTTTGAACCATTGTATATTTATTGTCATTATTTCCCAAGTAATTTTTAATTCTTGTTTGATCACCCATTGGTTGTTTAGTAGCATGTTTAGATGTTTAGCATCCACATCTTCATTCTTTCCCCCTTTTTTTTTTTTTTTGGAATACATTGGTTTATTTTCAGTGCTTGAAGATACATTCAAAGATAATTGGTTTGAAAATATGCCCTGTAATTTTAAGTTAACCTGCATGCTGTAAATGTGTTTTATGTTTAAATAAAGAAGAAAAATTTTTTGCAAGTGGTAACTTTCTTAAAACTTATTTGAAGTACTAGGTTGACCTTGTATGACTAAGGCCTTGTATCTTAGAAATATGGAACGCTTCATGAATTTGTGTGTTATCTTTGCACAGGAGCCATGCTAACCTTCTCTGTATCATTTTAATTTTAGTATATGTGCTGCAGAAATGAGCACCATTTTTTTTTCTTGTAAGTGATGTCCAGCTTCATATCACAGGGTTCAGAAAAGATGCTTGATAAAATTTCAATCTTAAATATATTGAGACTTCCACTGTGGTCTTACATGTGATTTATTATGGAGAATGTTCCATATGTGCTTGAAAAGAATGTGTATTCTACTGTTTTTGGATATAATGTTCTGTATATATCTGTTAATTCAATTTGGTCTAGTGGGTCATTCAAATTCAGCGTTTCCTTATTGATTTTCTGTCTGAATGACCTATCCATTCATGTAAGTGGGAGTGTAAAGCCCTCTACTATTATTGTGTTGCTCTCAATCTCTCCCTTTATGTATGTTATTATTTCCTTTATATATTTGGGTGTTCCTCTGTTGGTGTGTCGATATTTACAATTGTTATATCTTCTTGATGGATTGTGCCTTTAATCATTATATAATGTCCTTCTTTCTCTCTTATTACAGCTTTCGTTTTAAAGTCTATTTTGTCTAATGTAAGTATTGCTACTCCAGCTTTTTTTTTTCATTCCTGTTTGCATGAGATATCTTTTTTCCATCCCTTTAGTTTCAGTTTGTCTCTTTAAGTCTGAAAGTGAGTGTCTTGTAGACAGCAAATAGATGGTTGATTTTTTCAATCTATTCAGTCACCTGATAACTTTTGATTGGCACATTTAGTGCATTTACATTTAATTAATTATTGATAGGAATGTACTTATTGCCATTTTGTTAACTGTTTACTGGTTGTTTTGTTGTTCTTCTCTGATCCTTTCTACTCTTGCTTTTCCCTCATGCATTATGACTTCCTTTAGTGTTGTGTTTGGTTTCCCTTCTCTTTATTTTTGCGTGTGTCCTCTATAGGTTAGTGACTTGTGGTGGCCCTGGGGTTATTATATGATATCCTATATATTTAGCAATCTATGATAAGTTGATGTTCACTTAAGTTCAAATGCATTCTAACAACACTACATTTTTTACTCCCCCTCCACATTTTAAATATATGATGCCTCCTTTTATAACTTTTTATTTAGTGATTCCCTTAACTAATTTTCAGATGTAATTGTTTATACTACTTTTATCTTTTTACCTTCATACTAGTTTTTAAGTGGTTGACCTACTACCTCTAGTATATATTTGCTTTTACTAATGAAATTTTTGCTTTCATATTTTCCTTGCTCCTAGTTAGGATCTTTTCTCTTCCTCTTAAAGAAGAGCCTTTCACATTTCTTGTAAGGCTGGTTTAGTGGTGGTGAACTCTTTTAACTTGTGTTTATCTGTGAAACTCTTTATTTTCCCTTCCACTCTAAATAATAACTTGCTGGGTGGAATATTCTTAGTTGGAAGTTTCTCTCTTTCAGCACTTTGAACATGTCATGTCACTCCCTTCTGGCCTATAGACTTTCTGCTGAAAAAAACAACTGGTAGCCTTATGGGATTTTTTTTTTTTTTGCTCTTTTTTAGATTCTCTCTTGATCTTTGGTCTTTGACATTTTAATTGTGATTTGCCTCTGTGTGTACCTTCTTAGGTTTATCTTGTTTTGGGTTCTCTCTGCTTCCTGGACATAGATGTCTACTTTCTTCCCAGATTAGGGACATTTTCTGCTATTATTTCTTCAGATGAGCTTTCTACTCTTTTCTCTCTCTCTCTTCTCCTTCTGGGACCCCTATTATGTGAATGTTTGGACATTTAATGTTGTCCCAGAACTCCCTTAACCTGTCACTTTTAAATTCTGCTGTTCAGCTGGAGTGCTTTCCACTACTGTGATTCAGGTCACTGATCCATTCTTCTGCATCCTGTAATCTGCTGTTGATTCCCTCTAGTGTATTTTTAGTTTCATTTATTCTATTTTTCATCTGTGATTGGTTCTGTTTTATATTTTCTCTCTTTGTAGAGGTTTTCACTAAGTTCCTCCACTCTTCTCTCAAGTCTGATGAGCAACTTTATGATCATTAATTTGAATTCCTTTTCAGTAGATTGCTTAACTGTTTCATTTAGTCCTTTTTCTGAAGTCTTGTCATGTTCTTTTGTTTCAAGCATATTTCTTTGTCTACTTATTTTGTTTGAATTCCTGTGCTTGATTATATGAATTAGTAGAAAGGGTTACTTCTCCCAGTTTTGAGAGATTGACCTTGTGTAGGGAAGGTCCCCTAGGTAGACTTCACATGCCTGATAGTTTTGGCTGGCTGGCTGGAGGCCTAGGAAGTATAAGCTGGGGTATCCTGGTGTCGGGGTTCTCAGGGATGTTTGGAGAAGGGTCACAGTTGGAAAGGAGTGCAGCTGGAAGGGCCCAATCAGAGGAGTTCATGTGTGGAGACTAATGGCATCCCTGCTGGCAGGGAGGCAGGCCTAGGCAGTCTCCAGGAGAGCTGTGCCTCTGCAGCTATAGGCTCCATGCCCACAGTGCAGTAACAGCTAAAGCACAGTCTCCAGCAGTAGGTACCTATTGCATCTATACCCATGCAGCCCCAGGCCCCTGTACATCCCCCAGGGATGTCCTGCCCATGTGGCTACTGGTACAACAATGGTACAACAATGGCTGGGGCATATAGCTGGGACAGGCTCCAGGGAAGCCCTACCTCCACAGCTCATTGTTATGTGCCTATGGTGCAGAGGTGGCCAGGGAGCATCTACAAGGGGCTGGGGATAACTCCTTCTGTGCCCATGGGGCAGCTGTGGCCTAAATGCTCTCTCTACCTGATGCATCTGGGTATGGGCAGAAGCTGGGAAGTCACCTGTACTAAATCCAAAATTGGCCTGTAAGCCCCAACCCTGCTGCCCATGTCACTATCTATGTGCAGAAGGGGTACAGGCAATACCTCTCACCCCACCTCTGACCTGGAGTTCCAGCCACTCCCTACCACATGGTGCTTTAATTCTGTAAATTGCTTTTTTTCACTTATACTCTAGATATACTTTAAAACACAGCTTTTTTCTATGCTCAAGGGCAGCAATCTATGTCCAGGCCCCTCAGCAGTGTCCCTTCCCTCTGTGGGTCATTGTGGTGGGGATGGGATTCCCTCAGGTACTGTGTCTCCATCTCTTCAGCCATTTTTTATGTGATATTCTATCCCTCATTGTGCAGAAGGTGTTCACTTAGTCCTCAGTTTTCTCAAGATGAATTCCTTGGCATGTAGGTATGGATTCCGTATAAAAGGAGGTATGGTCAAGCTCTCTCTACACTGCCATCTTCTGTGGCTCCACAGTCCTATTTTAATTAATTTATGTGGCACTAGGCTATGCTCCAGAAAACTAAACTTATTTGCCTGTTCAGTAATTCCTGAACATATTCTGTTTGCCGAGCATTGTGCTAGAGTTTTGAAGTACAGAGGTAAAAAAAGACACAGTCACTTCCATTCAGCAACTTACAGTCCAGTAATCACAATATAAGGTCTTTCCAAATGTAATACGGAGTACCCTCCACCAATGTGCAACACTATTTTGGAAAGGTGGCATAGGACTTGGAGGAGGCTAGATGTGTGGTAAGGTGCAGTTGTCCACCTGGCGAGAAGAATTTTCCCAAGCCTATATCATGTCCAAGCCTATTCTAGGTACCACATAATAAATGCCACCACCCAACATACCTTCCATTTGGTTAGCATTTACACATTCATTCACTTTAAAGTAAAAATTACATCACTTTGTGTATCAGGTAACTATTCTAGATTCTGGGATTCAGAAATGACCAAGATGGCATCATTCCATATCTTTCTTGAGTTTATACTATGTCATGACTAAAACATGTTACATAATCTAAACTGAGGATAAATTAGAATTTTCTAGACAAAAAAAATAAGGTAAAAATTATCCTAGACCTAGGGAATAGCAGGTAAGATCTAAAGAAATATAAGGTACAGTCATTGGAACTCAGAGAAATTCATTGTAATATGAATAACCTAGGTTATTCTTGCTTTGTTCTTAAGGCCATCTTCATGTAATGATGTATTCAAAAGAAACAAATGCTAGTACCAAAAAGTGTGGAATTATAGTAAGTGACACAACACATAGCAAAACTCCTAAAAGTCCTTTTTAGACATTATCTCTGTTCAGGTCCCTCAGAAGCAGAACCTGAGGCAGGCATTGGGGCACATGTGATTTATTCAGAGAGTATTTTTCAAGAAGAACCAGTAAAGGAAAGCAGGATAACAAAGGAGATAGAGCTGAGCAAGGATGTGGTTTCAGGTAAAATCTAGCCTTGGCCTGATCCCCTGGGAGAGGGCTCTGTGGTACAAATCACGTAAGTGTTGCATCCCCACTCCCTGAAGAAAGAGGGGTGGCTCTTGTGTGCCCATAACAGCCAGTCATTTGAAGAAGGCATAATGTCAGGAACATAATTTCCTTGTTCTGTCTTATATATATTAGTTCAGCCATTCCCAGTCTCTTCCTTTGTCTCCATTACCTTGACCGCACAATGTTGCCACGAGCTAGTAATACAAATACAGAGTCCTTCTCAGCAAGCTGAGAGGGGAAGAAAACAAGGCTGCCTGTGTGGCGATGTTTTGTCAGTCTTGAGGGAATGCACAGTGTGAGGGATGGGGCCTGGGGAGAAGCTAAGGCTGAAGAGGTAAAGAAGCCAGGTGATGGGGAAAATAGAAAAACATCCGACAAGACTGAAGGTGAATTTAGTAAACCAGAGTTTCTCAGATGAAGGTCTGAAAATGTGGACTGTTCTGTCCCAGTGTGTCTCAGTTTGACAGTTTGAGCTAGCCTCTGATTCTTCCAAAGTGAATCATGGATTCCTGATAGAATCATAAACTTAGTTTTTCAGTTGTCTGGAAGTTAGGGAAAAGGAGAGTGTTTTTATGTCTTGTAATTGGGGATGGAATGATACCCTCCTACGTGATTTTGTAGGGTTGTAAAAATAGTGAAAGCTGCCTGGAACTGCATCCTCCACATGTCTCTGCCACCCCCTCAGATCTGATCTTTCAAAAAGAAATCACTTTATGTATATATTCTGATATTTGAATTTCCATATGTGTTTTATTTTCTAACCACAGCAGTTGGA